ATTAATTTCTGACCCAACTAACTAACCAATAATTATTAATAATTAATAATTACTAATGACCAATTACTATTCAACCTAACCTTTAACCTGCTCCTACTTTTCTAATCAAATCTTCAATGGGATGCCAATTTTCAATAGTCGAGCTGTTGTAAACTCATTCTTCATATTTGTTGTCCCCTGTCGTGCCTTGTCGTGTCCTAAACTGGACTTTCTAATATTAATTATAATAACTGAACTCTTCAGGTGTGCAACGTTGTTGCAGCCAAGCCAAGATGGCTACTCTTCATTCCCTGAAGCTCCATTTTAACACGAGCAATTGATCGAACGCTACACTTAAATTCGCAACTTTCTCGTAGTTAATCCTTATATCATCTACCAATCGTTTGATAAGCACGGTCGAACCATCTGGCAAACTCGGAGATTTCGTTTTCACGAAAAAAAAAAAAAAGGTTAAAACCAAGTAGCCCTTTACCACTGTCACGCAAATTATGATATAGAGACGGGGCGCAAAGAGCATTAAATTAATAATCTATGGCGTACTGTCGCCCAATTAGTTTATTGATTATTCATTCGTTATAACAGAGCAGTAATTACGAGTATCTAGGTGCAGGCAAATGGTAAGTATGGCGGCGTGATGGTAAATTGAAAATTCTAATTAAACGCGATGCTTATGTCTTGCCATGAATGCGCAAGTAAATTTCATCATCACGCTGTTGTCAAAGTGTGTATACGGATTCAATCGTATCATTCGGCGAATTCTGCAAACTGCAAATCTCCACCGACTTTTAAAATTGGAAATTTCTGCGATCGAAGCAAAGAGGAGGAAAAATTAACAGACGAGAATCTCTAGCGACACAAGCGATCCTCATCATTTGTAACAAAGTTTGGCAGGAAATATTCGAGACACCCTGTACATACACTCGGCGCACCCATACATCGCACGCACCTTATTTCCATATTGCAGTGGTGTATTTTTAAATTGCTCCGACACCCGCCGTAATTCCCGTAAACGAAAACAGCGTTTGGAAGATTAAACAGCGAGAGAAGCAGAGCAGCTGCAAAGCAGAGAATCGCAAATCGTCGACTCTTTGTTTGTCGTCTTCGTCGTGTATTTACGCGTGTGTGTTTACGCAGTAGTACGAATCAGGGAAAAGCGCTCTGAAGCGTTATGGCGGATGGAATATGATTGTTGTGATTTGTTGCTGGGGGGATCTTTGTCACTCAGGCACGAGTGGTAGCTTCTGATGAAGTCACTCATAAACGTCTGTCACAGTGCCACGTTTAGGTAAACAAGCTTCATTTCTCGTACGTTTCGCAAATTCCGGCGACAAACGTGGCGAAAGTGGAGTGAATCTTTTTTTTTTTTTTTTTTTTGGACGAATGACTTGCAATTGTTTACCCAAATATCGATAACCGGGTTGATGGAGACTGATGTGCAAGTCTTTCCGCAGGAAATACTCGGATTAGGCCATTGCTCCACGTCAAAAATTCGCATTTTTTGAATAATAAGAACATCAGAGATTTTTTAGAGATGCTTAGGCCCCAAAGAAAAAGATCGAGAACAAATGATCTAAACGAGAGCTTAACCCCTTGCACTGGCAATTGGTTTAGGTTAGGTTTAGACGGACCATAACGAGTGACCAAACCGTATACGATAATTCGTCGCTCTCTTTTTAAACTCGTCGGTACGATATCACCGGATAGAAATTATTACTAAGAAGTAATAAATTTATTATCTGTTTTGCCCGGGTTATATTTAAATATACTTAAAACTGAGAAAATACTGCAATTTTGAAAAACAAAAAATTCTCAACGTTGAAGTTAAC